GTGAGTCAAGGCGAACCTTTTACATTAATATATAATTATTAAATTCTTAGTGAATGAATAAAAATTAAAAAAATATAAATCATGATGAAAATGGATAGATAACCTTTAAAAAGAATATCTATAAAGTACCCGCTTTCTCAAAGTTACTATAAATGAATGATTTTTCGTTTAAAAATAACAAAATAATCAATATTAGCAGTCTCTGATAATAATAAAAACTATTTCTTTTCTAATTGTCAAAAAGAGAGAATATGTGAGAATAATTAAAAAAAATTTTCACCTGACATACATACATACATACATACATACATACATACATACATACATACATACATACATACATATATACATACATACATACATACATATGTTCTGCGTACTGTGTTTTGGGAATTTTGGGGAACCTGAAACACCCTGCTACGAACTTGCACCAAATAAGAGCGTGTTACGCACACAGCAACACCTCGCTGCCACATACATACCACACGTATGTACAGATGTACATATATAGTACATATATCCCCACACATACATACATACATACGTACGTACGTATACAAAAGAGATTCGTTATACATTTTTCTTTTCAAGTTGTCTGCCGTCGCCAGCGTCGCGGCTGCTTTCGTTTTTGCCTTTTTGAATAGCAGACGGAGAGGCAAAACTTTGATATTTTTAGAAACGTGCGCACATGTTTCAAAATATCAAAAAGCATATATCCAAATTGAAGACGCGAAAGAAGAAGCACACTCACAGAAAAACGAAAAATTGTGCTGAAGGAAACGAAATGTTTATATTCAAAACCAAACTAAGTCCGAAAAAAAAAAAACAAAACAAATTTGTGTAAACGGCCAACGAAATTAAACAGATCCAAAGTCTGCAATATTGGACTTATTTGGAATATTCTAAAATATACATAATTCGATTTTAGAGAATGAGTTCCGACCTATTCGGTTTAGGAGAGTTATTAAAATACAAAATTTAAAATGTATTAGTTACATTTATTGGTTCTATTCAAAAAAGAATATTTTATGCTTCCAACAGCTTGCAAATTGTATTTATTTTAATTAATCACGTCCAGCTTAACAGCATTAATGCGAATTGTGATCAGTTTAGGGCAGTATTTGTGATTTTCCCATTCCCAGGTCTCTCTTATTCTCAAAACAAAAACAAATCAATAAAAAATGATATTTTGGAACCAGAAGCCAGAACCGTAGAGGAGGCAAGAAAATGCTCTTTCGGGCTATAAATCACAATCCAAAGTGGTCTCCAATACCCGACAACATTAAGGACTAACATGTGCAGTCAAAGTGGGTTCAGCTTTATTACAAAATTGGTTTAAATGCGTATAAAAACTTTATAAACAAAGGAAACCAATTTAGAAATATTGTAAACATCAAGGTTTTCAGCCAGGCAGAGCTACCCTTTTTGAGAAATTGATAAAGAAAATTCGTGATGAAATCAACAAAAAAGGAATGAGTTTTTGGGTATATCAAGTCTAAGTCAGATTAGGTAGGCAATGCTTGGACAGAATCTCTTAAAGGCCTATACCAATTTGCTTCCCTTCTAGCAATAAGTTTTTCGAATATTTCCCATTCAATCTAGTCTCAAACGTTTTTTTTTTTAAACATTCCGCATACATTAGGTGGTTGCACTTCACTTCCCTGTCTGTGAGGCTGCTTTTTAACTGTCAAATCGTACTGACAGGCCTCTATATACTCGTAGATGTGCACGTAATTTTGAATGAAATCAGCGAACGCTTTGTCTGACCTCTGACATCTCTGGCAGCGCAACATTCATCAACACTTTGCCGAGCTTACCAACAATTTCCCAATGACTCGTAACTTTTGTGTGCGAACAAAATAAATGAAAACAAAAATCGAAAGGCAAAACGTACCGAGAGCATTGAGGGCAGCGTTCAAAAGCAAACTGTAAAGTGCCTTCAAAAGCAAAAGTGAAGTTGTTGCCGTTGTTGTTGTTGTTGTTGTTGCAGTATTACCGACTATGGCGACCCAAAGAGCGAGAGTCGGGCCAGTAGTATTATATACTCGTACATATTTTTGTTTTGGCATGACTTTTGGCGAAAAATCGAATCGATTAGTCATGCCGAAAAGTCCGCTTCTTTGTCCCTCACAAGCATATGAGTTCGACTATTTCGATGAGTTGTGTTGTGTTTCGATGTGTTGGGTAAGCGGTTTTTGCTTAAATCGTTCACGCGGACTTCTCAGACAGACAGACAGACAGACAGAGACAGTCCGTCCATTTGGCATTTTCCGAGCGAGCTTTCTGCTTTTGGTTCATTTATTAAATTTTGACACATTTGTTAGTTATTTCTGAAGGCGAAGCCAGCAAGCTGCTGGGCCCACACTTCTGCCCTCCATAACAGACGCTAATTGAATATTTATTTTCAAGTCAGCAGCGCGCACAAATCATAAAAATTAAAATACAATTTAATAAGTGTTTGCGACGGTGAAGCGCTCCAAAAGAAACACCAAATTAATGGCAAATGGGACCCGAAGAAGTACAACTCGAAATACACATAAATTTCATGTTTACGACTCGAAGCTGCGCTACTCGAGACCGAGACAACAACACCAACAACTGAGGCGGCGCGAATGAAAAATAAAATATAATTTAGAAGAAAAACAACAACACCAGAACGACAAAAAAACGTGACTTTTCATGAAATAACGCCACGCGCAAAAAACAGCAACAACAACAACAACAACAGCAACTACAATAATGCACAATATCTAGCGCTACAATCTCGTGCCCAGCAGTGAGAGCGAAAAATAAAAATGGAATACATTTGTAGGTAGGCTTCAATTTAATTCTTTTTTCTCCTGCCACAACAAAAAAAAAACCAACCAACATTTGCATTAAATTTAAAACGTTGAGTAGCATTTAAAGCGAGCCAGCGAGTGGAGGAGTGTGGGTGTTTGTACCAAGTTTAGAGACTCTTGAAGAGCTAATAGCACAGGTGGTGGTTGGCATTAAGGAGAGGGAACTAAGCTAAGAATTCTAAGTAACATTTTGAAACATACTTGTAATTTCAGATAACCAGAAAGTTCACCTACACTTTTCTCCATGCTTGTCAAAACATACATCTCAAGACTACTTGTAATTCGTAGAGTCGCCTGCAAATTAGGCCTCGAACGATATATTAATTACCAAAATTGGTAAATGGAAGACCTTTTACATCTACTGGTAATACGAATACACTTGGAAAAAATTGCGCTTACATTTGGAAAATGGCTTTGTCACTACAAGTACTACTTTCTAGAATGTTTCTTTTTATGAGAAAACTGTCTTGTACTGGAAATTCTAAAAATAGTTCCTAAAATCAGAATTAAGCTATGGAAAATATTGTAAATCTTTCAATATATACATTTTTTAAAGATATCGCACTAAAATCTAGCAAAATCCAATCTCATAAAATTTGTCAAGAATGAAATGCCGTTTTTGTAAATTTAAGAAAATCATTTTCTAAGAACTTGTAATTGGGGCTATACTGTTTTTTAACAGATTTCGGAAAAACGTATCTTATTAATAGAAAAGGTTTATAAGTTGTTATTTTATGGCAACGAATATATTTTTCTGAGTTAAAGATAGGGAATATACAAAGGACTCCTTTCAGAGATATTTATCGTATATGGTCGAGTCGGTAAACACAATTTCGATTCGATGAGCACCTAAAGCTAACACTCGCAGTTCGTTTTCAAATTTTATAATGTTTTATTTTCCTTTTTCGATCCAACATAAATAAATAGTTCGATGTTGTTTACCGACGAGTAGGCGGCTCCACATATTCACCATGACTCATATTATTAATCAAATACTTTTTAGTACACAAATAGACTAGGCTGACCGGAAATAAAAAAAAAAAAAAAACGCCCTTAATAAAATAAAAAAAAGCTTTTTGGAAAGTTTTGAAAGCAATTAAATAGATGTGTGTTGTTAAAAGGAACAACTTATCGACTTCGAACGTTTGAATACAACGGAATAATAACGAAGAACTGACGAGTTAGTCTTGAAATTGATGACTTAATAGCACTGTTTCTACGTTTTCAAAATGAATGAAGCGGTAGCGAATGCTGTCTGACTGCAACCTTATATCCAATATTTGGCATATGGAATACCATTGCTATTAAAAATTATCCATACAAGTCAAGTTATTGGAACTATTCTGAAGAACAATCAGAATAATTCTAATTCAGAGCCAACAGGCATAAAATTTCAAAAATGCAATTAATGGCAGATCAGTTCGGCTTCTACCTTAAATAATAAACTCGCCGTTTCGATGCAGTTTATCGGTAAAAATAAATAAATAAATGGATGCTTACAGCGGATTTAAGTGGCAGAACAGGTCGATTGCTACTTGATTTATGAATACAACCACTCAGATATATCTGAGAGCTTGTCGGGCTGCCTTATATAATAAAAATTGAGTGTCATTCGCGAAAAGCATTTAATTACCGCTTAGTTAATTTCGCAAACACGTTATATTGTTTTTGTCTAAACGAGTATACTTGTAGAAAAAACATTTTTAGGACTGGAAACGATGAAGTTATTCAATAAGTATTGTGCAATATGATATAAATAATACACATATATGTATATAGCAGTTCCATTTTTGATCACTCAAATCTATACTTTCTGTAACTTTAAACTACTCCCAAATGCATCACCCTGTATTATATTTAATTTATATATATGTCTCGAAACAATTTGCTTAAATTTGAAAGAATAACTTCCTAGATCTTTACAATATCGGCTCGATCTTCAAATGCACCGATACTGGCAACTCGAAAACAGGCAAATAGATATACTTGTAAACAGCGAAATGTAAAAAACATAAAAATTAACTCAAACTCGAACAGATACCCAAGTGGAGTTCGAAACCAAAATAAACAAAATAGATGTTTATATACGTATGTATGTATGTGTGTTTTTAAGTGTGTGTGTGTGGAAAAAACAGTTGGAAAACCCTTAAAGATAAACACCTTGTGCTCCACAGCTGATGAGGCGCCTGGCGTTGTTCTTGTAGTTGATGCGGTTCTTGTATCTGAAGCTGCTATTGCGTTTAGCTCTTGTTGTTGATTCGGCTGCTAAGTGTTAAGCACAAAAACACGCGCAACGTACTAACACACACACGCACACGGACACGGACACGAATTATAGCTGATTGTGAGACACAAAACAGCTCAGTAACGCTTCGATGTTGCTGTTGTTGTAGTTAAAATTGTTGTGGGTTTCTTTTCTTTTTCTATTGTGAATAAAAATGTATTTTCGAATTTGTTTTCAAGCACAAAATATCAGAAGAAAAAAAAACACGCGCTCGCTCAGCAGCTGAGCCGAAGACGAAAAAGCTGGCGTTGTTGCGATGTTGACGCCGGCGATGGCGCTGACGCTGACGACGCTGGCGATGACGACGACTGTTACTGCGACTGCGACTGTGAGTGCGACTGCGACGCGAGCGAATTGACTTTATGGCTTTAACGTAGGCGTAGGCGGCGTCTGCTGCATTAATTCGCTCTTGTTGTTGGTGTTGTTCTTCTAGTTGTTATTATTGTAGAGCACGGCGTGACGTCACTGAAATGCCGGTAAAACATAAAACAGAAAAGAGCATTCGATGCGCGGTATTTGGTAATTTGCGCGGACAGAATAGAACAGAACCAAAGACAACAATTCTCTTCACTCCGACTTTGTATTTCTTGTTTTATCTTGCTGTAGAAAAATGTGACACATTCGCAGACACGGTCACAATAAGCACACAAACACACACTCACGCGGCACACGGACACACGCCGATACACGAGATGACAACAAATGCGTGGCTGGCTGGGTGGCTGCTGCTTCGTTGCTTCGATGATTTGATAATCAAAACAACAACAGCAACAATTTTGTTTAAATAATTTGTTTTGTTTGGCCGCAGCAGCTTACTGTTGACTGGTCGGCTGTTGGCTGATGTTGTCGATTATTTAAGAGACGCGCGTTGACGTTTTATTTTAGTTGATGCAGTTGTTATTGTTGGAAAAGTGCGTATGATTTTGTAAGACGCAGTGTTGCATAATTTAATAAGTTATTAAAAAAGTTTCACACACACTCTTTGGGACACGATGACGACGAGCATTAAACATTTAATTGCGTTTTCAATTTTGCTTATTACTTGGTGTGTGCGGCTGCTGCTGCTTTCTGCTTTGCTTGCAGTTTTCTGTGGCAATTTCTGCTTAGACTCTGATTTTGGTATTTTGCTTAACACTTCTTAAGCAGGGCAGCGGACAAGGCAACTCTGCACAACGGCGCTCGCAAACAAACTGATTTCCGAATTCGAAAATTTTGACACGGCGGCAACGGCACAAAAATTCCAAGCAAGCAGCAGCGCACAGCCGACGACGACGCAACAACAACAGTAGGCATAAACTCTCGCTCACGCGCCACTCACTCACTCTTTGGCTGACTCTTTACTCTCTTGCTGTTATTCTCTTATTGGATTTGCCTGTTTTGGCGACAGCTGCTGGAGTTGTTTTCTTATCGAACGCACGCAAAGGAGAGCGACGCCACAGTACGCCAGTGCTTTGGCTTTTAAGAGCGCACTCGGGCCGTTCTCTTATGCTGCATGCTTGTTTTGAGTGAATTTTCCTTTCTTATTTTGTTTGGTCATTGTGTTGTGGTGGGCTGCCACATTGTGGGGCAGCCCGAGGTTGGGGTTAAGTGGCGGCTAAGTGATCGCTCATTATATTCGTAAAACAAGTACACATTTGGGTGCATTTAATATACATATAAGGGACTTTTGTGCTATATTTGAAGACACACATGCAGACTTAAATTGTCCTTTGAGGCACCCAAAAAGTATCATATGGCCAGTTTTAATTAATGACAAAATTAAACTCAGATCAAATTATTGTTATGCGCCTGTCTGTATGTACCAACCAGTATAAGTTATATGTATCTGCTCTTGTAGAGGTGCAGTTGTTCGCCTACGGATCCTTCTGTGCCACACAGCCCATGCCCACTCATTGATGAGGCGGAGACAAATTGCACTGCAGAGTCTGAAACTTTTTTACAACTGGCGATCGAAGCTAAAACAATCCCTAAATATTTGACCAAGGAAAATATCCAGGGGTTTGTTTTGCTTTTTAGAGTGAAACATTCATACATCAATCTAAATAGAGGAACGAAAAAATTAATTACTCGATTCTCATGAAAAAAAAAAAAAAAAAACAACAATGCCAGCTAAATAAATAATTGTATGTCTGCAAAGCTATTTACCAACCAGCTTTCATCGTGGCAGGCACGGTGTCTTGAAAGTCACCTTCAAAATAAATTCAAGAATCGCTCAATATTTCGAAAGGCGGACGCTGAAATGCATTTACAGAATATTCCGTTGGTATTCTTAGAAGCAGCAGCAGCAACAACAACTTTTTTATGTGAAGCCCAAAATAGCCAAAATGAAATTTTAAGTGTGTCGGTGTGTGTTTGGTTACGTCCTTATATATAGTATAAACATAATGCATGATATGCCGCAACTAGTTTGACAATTCTGTGACATAAATTCGTTTTTAGTTTACATTTTGGCAGCGCCCGAATAACAGAATGTTAACACCCCCACAGAGAGCTGTTTTGGGGGGTGGGGGACAAGTCATAAAAAATTACATACAAACGCATGCATGTGTGCGTATCGACTTATCTACTAGTTCTGAGCATATTTTTTTTTTATATATGAATGTATGCATGTGTGTATTAAAAGTGAATGTAAATTATTGAAAAACAACAACAAATTAAAGCGCCCGAAGCAAGAACACAACTCAAGTCGATCGACGCATACACACACACACACACGCACGCACACAAACGTACATACATAACACGCGAGAGCAGCGACAGTGACGACAGCTGTGTGAAAGCAAAAAGTAAAGAGAAAGATCGGAACGCCTCCGCAATGCTTTGTTTTGTGTTATTATTGCTGTTGTTGTTGTTGTTGTTGTAGTTGCTCGTTATGGTCATATTATTATTAGAAGTGTTGGCATGCAGCGTGCCGTGAGCTTGAGAGTGTAAAGTGTATGTGTGTGTGTGCGTGTGTGAGTTATTTTTAAACGATTTCAAATTAGAATTGAAGTTGAAACTGTATGGGCCATTGAGCAGTGAAGTGGGAGGGCGGCCGCCTGTGCGGTCGATGAAGTCACTTTGAATTGAGGCTGAGACAAAGGCTGAGACAAAGACTGAGACTGAGACAAAGGCTGAGGCAAAAACTGAGCCAAGTGAAAGGTTTTTATCCACTCATTTAGGGCATAGTGCGCTCTCTGCTGAACTTGCCGCCAACGTTGGCATTCAATGCACACACTCTTAAAGCAATCTATACATACATACATACATACGTATGCGTATTTATCTATGCATGTATGTATGCATGCATATGTGTGTGCAAAATTCATTCGGAGGCACACGCTATACAACAAACTGAAAACTTCGACTGCACGCCATGAATAAGGTGGAGTAGAAAATTTGAAAAAATTCAATTCAATTCAATTCAAAGCATCGGGCAGACAATATCATGGACAAACACACATACCAATGCATACTCACACACACACACACACACATACATTCATAAGTATATACACACATACCAAGCCATATCCATGTGTGCCTGTGTAGGCAGCTCTAGTGGGCCTCAGACAGCCGACAGAGACATAGAAGTTCGTGTTTGTTGGAGCCTAGTTTCTGCAACGACGAAAACACTTCGAAAGCGAGCCGAAACACTTTATTTGGGACTTTACGAAAGGCTGAATAGCTGCTTAACTGCTTAAAGAAGAACAGTTCTCAATCTCCAGATAAATTCATCTTCATAGTAATACGTAAATATTAGAAAATTCGTATCCTATTTGATGGAACAAATACATACATACATGTATCGACTTTATTGACCTTTAAAGAATTACTCAATTCTTGCGCTAAAACAAAACTGGCTAACAGCTAAAGCTAAATATTAAGCAGTTAAGCAGCTACTCCTCCTTGAAAAAGCAGGAAATATACAATTCCAGTGCTAACGGGAATTTAAAAAAAACTTCCGACGAGACTCTCCCTCCTGGCAGCAAATTAGAACAAAATCTACTTGGAAAAGTATGAAAGTTTACTTCTGGCATTTAGTGCTCAGTATTAGGATTGAAAGAATTCCCCAAGAGAGACATTATTCATAGTATTCAGGCTCAGCAGATAGTGCTAATTATCGAAGCCCTGCAGTACACGCTTAGTCCTAATGTAGAGAGGAGGCTTCAGATATTTTTGTGCTATAAACCCTTCTGAATGTTCAAAGCTATATAAACCAATTTAAATTAAAAGTACTATCAATTACGGAAGACAAGTTAATTTTGCATTTCTTTTTTAATAGAAATAAATAAACATTTTAACAAACATTTCGAGTACATATGTATGTATATATTTGTGAGAGTAGTTAATTCCCTCTTTAATCTTATCTCTCATAAGGAATTGCTGAAGTTAAACAAACCACCCTCTGAGGCATAATGCTCGTAAGTTTGATAATTAATTCATTAATTCTAACCGATTTTTGACGAGTATTTCATAGGCTTTGTGTATGGATTTGTCGGGCGTACAAAATCTTGCTCCAGATTCGCATCCCAAGCCCAAGATGTAAATGAAAGTTTTGTTGGTAGCTGTGCCAGGCAGCCCATTGTGGGCCGGAAGGGGTCAGTGTGTTGAAGATACAGATACAGATACATTTACAAATAAAGATACACAGACTCCGCTGGCGACGGCAGCGACTCGTACGGCTGGCTGTGTATCGAGAACCGGTTTCAGGCAAAATCAAAAGTTGCGCATGCGCCGCTGCCGCTGCCGCTGCTGTTGCTGTTGCTGCTGCCCCCACTACTGTTGTAGTTGTAGTTGCTACTGCGGGCTCTCAGCTGGTGGCGGTGGCGGTCTGGTTTTCTGCCTGACTGGCATACAAAACCAAAGTTAAAGTTGGAGTAAAAAGCAAAGTTTCCAGCCGCACTGGATGCTGTGGACGTACGACTACAAAGGTACGTGTAGATCGCTTGAAGCTTGACCGGCCAGGCAGCCACTGAAACGGGTTTAGCTCTCGTTTCCTCTGCACCTTTTGCGCCTGTTCCGAGAACGTGTTCAAGGCTTCAGGGTGTGTTGGCTTTTAAGCGCGAGCAGCAAGAAAAAAAAGGAAAAGAAAAGGAGGTCGCAGAAGCTGCGACGGCTGAGAGCTTGCCTCAAGGGATTGGTCGGCCAAAAAGAAGAAAAAAGGAACCAGTAGAGTGATACTTGTATGTGTTCTCTTCGCGCGGAGAGGAGGAGAGCGGCTACGCCTTTTGCCGAAAAGCCCCGCCGCTTTCATTAGCTCGTTGCTAATTTACAAATCAAATTAGAGGCAATGCTATAATAATGGCACAAGTACTCACAAGCACAGCGTTGATGACGAAGTCTCGGATCGACTTCGCCGACGCCGACGCCGATCGATCATTCGTTCGTTCGTTCGATCGGTCGATCGCACGCACTGGATGAGACCGGCATCGGCCTTTGTTGACGACTGCATGATGCATGGGGCAGTGAGAGAGAATGAGAAACCGAAACAAAAGCTTCGCATAAATAAAACAAATAAACGCCAGCATTGCAGGCAACAACAAAAATTATAATGTCACGTACGCTTACTAGATCCGCAAGTTCAGGAACCAGTTTAGAATCAGCCCGACTGCCCAGACGAAACGCATTCAAATCGCAATGCTGTTGCCGTTTGCGATGACGTCGTCGTCAGGGTCCACAGTGCCGCCTTCTGACTCAGCAGTTGTTGCGCCGCTGCTGCTGCTGCTGCCGCTGCCGCTGCCCAGATGGCAGACAATTGCACAGCTTCTTCTTCTTCTTCTTATCAGAGAACTGTTAAGAGCACGATCGCTGCACATAGCCGTAGAATTACATTTTCCAATTCGAATCTGAGCCTGAGTCCAACGCAAACGGGTGGCATTTCTCTTGAGCACTTTTGAAAGCACTCGTTTAACTCAGTGGCGCTCAATGCTAAAACTGTTACCAGTTTTTTTTTAAGAGTCCGCTCTTCTAGTGCTGGTTATGTGAGCACAACACAAATATTTGTTAAGAATAAATAATTGAAAATGAAGACATCTATAAAAACAAATGCTTTGTGCAATAACCAATAGAGAATTCAAATAAATGCAGGTGTTCAATTTATATTTAATTTATATTATATTTATATTTTATATTTAAAGTTTATTATTCATAATAATTGTAACTTGTTTTATATAAGGAGGCAGTATAAGCTCGATGATCTGAACAGAGATAGCGGAAACCCTTGATTGCCGCAATCATTTCGCAATTATTTAAATACTATATTTCTAAAATGTTCCTTGAGTAAAAAAAGATAAATTATATTAATTATTGAGCTTTACTTTTACAGAGATAAAAAAAATAAAATTTCTTTGGCTTACAAATTGTGTTACATCTCGTTTTCAGATCAAGATTTTGATTGCATAATTTTATTCTTAATTTTAAACGATGAAAAAAGCTGTCGAAAAGCAAATTGTTTCTGGGAGGAGGGCTCGTCTTATTAATTAAGAACTCATGGCATATAAATTAAATTATTATTAAATTTTATGAAATTTTTTAAATTTTACCTGCTTTTATATAATTTTGTTGTTGTTAATTTATTGAAAACGCTATTACATATTTGTTTAAATCAACATACTTTCAAAAACTATCGATGGCACCACCGACGTCTTTCCAAAAACTATCGCCGACTCTATTTCTCCACCTCTAGGGCTCATTCTTTTCCACAAGACAAGAAAGATTTGACCACTTGTTCCTAACTAAGAGGGACGTTTGATATTGCCTTTTAACATCAGTCCACTTCACGATACAATTATTTTAAATTTTGCATTTGAATATTTCGGGGGATAGTGATTGTAAGTGCCTTTTGAAGCCATTTTCCAAAAAACTCGAATGTAGAGCGGCATGCCTTCAGCAGCTCGGCTTGAAGTTTTCGGGACAAATCTTTGGCTCCGACTCGACGTCGCACATGCTCTTGAAAGCTCCCTGAGGGCATTTATCGTCGGCTACAGAGAGCGACAGCGCTTCCTCGCTGCTATCCGTAAACAACATCTCCCCGTCCGCCGGGACCCAAGCGCCGCCCTTCAACTGCTCGTTAACCCACTTCAATTGCTTGTTGATCTGAAAATCGAGCTCATGAATGTGCTTCTAAAACAATTACAAAACAGTCAGAAGAATCACCTTTTCCGCCGTTCTCTTAATATTTTCGTAATGGAACAACGAGGCTGCGAGTCTATAGATGTTATTGGGGCGCGTTTTGATGACCTCCATTAAAATGACGCGAGTTATGGCGCGTATCTGTAAAATGGGGGACTCTAGAGTACTTTCCGAGTTTTAAGTACTTAACATACTTCCGGATGTTTGCACAAATAGGTCCAGTTGCCTTTGGACATATTCCTTGAAATATGCGCGACAGTTGCATTAAATTTCAAGACATCCTTATCTTCGTCCTTTTCACTGTTTCCCTTGCGTTCCTCACCGCCAAAGTTGATTTGTGTTTTCTTCTCCATTGTGTTCTCGATCCAAGCAAAGTTTCCAAAAATATGTCCCAACAATGGGATTCCTAGCATAAGTATATTATGACTGCCCTGGCACTGTTTGCTTGATCCTCAATACCTTGAGTATTTATTCCGCACAAATGAAATATTTACATTGTTTTAATCGTTTTAACAATATAGCGATGGCTCATGGCAGAAGGGAGAGTGGGAGGAGGAATCTATTCGCCGGACGTGGAAGCAGAGTCTTACTTCTTCCACCTTCCGCACCAACACACTGTGTATACGAGGCGTTATCTTTCTCTCACCATTGTAGGCATCGTAGCTCTCTTAATAATGCTTGTACTGGGGCACCAGACACTTGGGGGTAACTACATAGATGAAGATGACTTGGCAAGGGAGGAAACTACCGCCGCATCCTTTATACGACGAGGAAGTAAGTTCCAATATTGGTATATCTATATTGGATCTATTTTGAAAACAGACATGCTGTTCTGACGAACGTTTCACTGATTTATTCGTCCAGTTAGGCACAGCGGTTGTTTGGGAAAAGGAGCTATATTTTGAGCAATGTCTTATGTGACGCATTTGAAACTACCAAAGCGATACTTTAGAGAATAAAATACACATAACTAATATAACAATATTATGAACTTGCTCTCGTAATAATCGCAATTTGTGCATTAACAGATACAGAAATTATTATATAAATATAGTTGCGCACTAAAGTCTATATACTTGTAGTTCCTTTATAAAGTCAGTTGTAAGTAGAGTTCGGGAATTATAGCAACAACAACTCTAAGGCAACACTATTCTTCAAGCACAGATCCCAGGGACAATGATAGCGTATCGTCGCAACGAATACAATGAATGTAAACTTTGACTCAAGCTCTTTCCCCCCACTGCGAGTCGAAATGCATTCGAATTCAAATTAACCAAATTACCGAAAATGTGTTCCTTCGCTCGTTCGCTTGTCTTCCCCCGTTGCTTTAATTACTTGCAACTAACTGTCGGCTACTTAGCAGAGGAGTGGCGGAGGGGGTGGCGGGGGCGCATCGGCTCCCCACTCCGCATGTCCTGCCTCAAGCGAATGCAATTGAAACCATTAAGAAAGTTACTCTGCGCGCATAAGCCAAGACAAAAGCAAACAGACGCCGCCAGCCAGTCAGACAGTCAGCCAGTCAGACATCTGTACAGTTGAAGAAATTACGCTGATTGAACACTAATTTATTTGTTTGTTTGTTTTCACATTCTGTGCGCAGGAATTACATTAAAATGGTGGATTACGGTGCTGGGGTGGGGGTGTGGGAGGGGCGGGGCGCTGGCACTGGCGCGATTCCGCAGGCAGTTGGTGTGCAAAACTTTTTGTTAAAAATGCTGCCGAGGCGCAAAGCCAATCCAGGTGTGCATCTGTGTGCGTCTGTGTGTCTGTGTGTGTGTGTGTGTGTGTTTGTGTGTGTTTAGGTGCAACTTTGTGTGTTCGATTATTCAAGTATTTGAGTGTTTAAGTGGCACTGCGTCTAAATACTCGAAAAGCGCTCTCGTTGGCCTCTTCCGCCGCAGCACTATGGGCAACAAATTCTTAATAATAGATGCACGAACTCGCCACAATGTGGTTCAGAACCACAGACTAACTTTAAGACGGACTTCAAGGGTTAAGCAAGACTATTTGGACATTTCAAACTCGCCATATTTAAAACTCTTATATTTGAATGATTTTCAATTCAGCTGCTTTTCTAAACAGCTCCAAACACAGATTAAAATGTCTTTGGAAATAAAGAATAGAATAGAATAGAATAGAATAGAATAGAATAGAATAGAATAGAATAGAATAGAATAGAATAGAATAGAATAGAATAGAATAGAATAGAATAGAATAGAATAGAATAGAATAGAATAGAATAGAATAGAATAGAATAGAATAGAATAGAATAGAATAGAATAGAATAGAATAGAATAGAATAGAATAGAATAGAATAGAATAGAATAGAATAGAATAGAATAGAATAGAATAGAATAGAATAGAATAGAATAGAATAGAATAGAATAGAATAGAATAGAATAGAATAGAATAGAATAGAATAGAATAGAATAGAATAGAACAGAATAGAATAGAATAGAATTGAATTGAATTGAAGAATCGCTGAGTTTTCCAAATTGGATGGAATTTTATTTGATAGAGGCAGCTATATCCTATAGGATCTGAAGTGTATTGTTTTAGGGATTTTTTAATTTGTATTATTATTATTATTATGTGGTGGAATCGGTCTGCAGATTGGGCCATAAGTTTGACATTTTTTAGATATGAGACCACTCTTACAGAATTTTTAAAAATCCCAGTAATTTTTATTTTTTCAAATCATGTTTTATGTGCCAACTTTCTCAGAGACTAATAATATAGCTTTTAAAACTCTGAGCTCGAGAAAGAACCTACCCTATTCGGGACTCAGTATATGAGTTTCCTACAAAGGCGACTTTAGCTTTCTGATTTGAATTGAATTGAAAGAAAGCATATCCTGATTATGTCAGATTATCTTTGTTACAAGTCGGCATAGCTGTTAATGACTGTTACGACTTCGACAATCGTTGTGCGTCGATTGTGGATTTTTAACGCGATTTCTGTTTTTCGCACCACCGTGCATCGATAGTGGCGGCGAGCGCTGGCATTTTAGGGTTGATTCTGATTCAATTACTTCTTTTCCTTTTATTTCGGAGCCCTGTCGAGTGCTGCAGCTAATTTGTTGTAATTGTAACCAAATCTAAATTAGTGAAGTTGGAGAACTTTTAACAAATTGTCCAAATATTTGACTAAACAAATGAGTTTGTATTTATTCGGAGCGATTTGTCAGCAGACTCTCTGTGTGCTCTGTGCAGAAACGGAAGCTGGTGGCGACACTAAAGCCAAACATAAATAAAAGCGTTTACTAGCTGGTGATGCCACATACATAGATGTGCAAACAAGCAGCCACACAATAATAAACAGACAGACACACACACACACACACACTCAACAGACACTCGCACTCACACTCACACTCACACAGGTCCGGCGGAAGTTTAAGCTACAAAATCCGACAATTAAATTATTGCATGACAAAACATGCGCCGAAAAATATTCAAAACGCGCCAAAAACAGGATGTAAACAAGGCAGACGAGCAGACAGACCTCAAAATACACACACGCCCACTAGCAAACACAACAACAACAACACAAACATACTCGTACACACCTAAAAATTGGAAAAAAACATAAACATAAAAAGAGGAAGAGGCACCGAATGCGAAAACCGAAAACAAATTCATCTTCCGGCAAAAACGAAAGCTGAGAACATCGTAAAAAATGAAAAACAGCATAAAAATGCCTGCCACGCACTCACCCACACTCACACACACACACCCACACATGTGCAGCCTCGCACACAGGAGCAACAAAATGGCGCGATAGAAAAAAGAAAGCAAGACAGCTCTGGCCGTGCCTGGACAGATTCGATGCCGGGGCAGACATGCTAGTGCTCGTGGCAATAATTTGAAATTCGATTACCATAACCAAGTACTCGGAAAACACACACACACACACACACACTTAGACACAGAAGGATAGTCGAGCAGCAAAAGATACAAGGCAAAAAAAAGAGACAAAACGTTTTGTGGCCAGAAAAGTGCATGTGTGTAGCTATTTGCATGTGTGTGTGTTTCTGTGTGTTTCTGTGTGTTTGTGTGTGTTTGTGTGTGTTTGTGTGTGTTTGTGTGTGTTTGTGTGTGTTTATGTGTGTGTTTATGTGTTTGTGTGACGTACGTCGCGCTACAGGCGAAAAGCTGCAAATGGCGAAAACGTTCGCTAAAAGGTCGCCAATGTCCGAGCGTAGAATGAAATGAAAAAAATCCCCCAAGGCAAAAAGCCAAAACGTGAATATATCAGAATTTTTGACCAAACAAGGCATAAATATACGCCAACTCTGGCCCGGGTGTGTGTGTGTGTGTGACTCTTTGACTCGCCATGTTACTGTGTGCGTGTGTGCCAGCAGCTATTACACGATGTTTTGGCTTGAGGACTTGAGGTCTGAGTCACAATGCCAAACGCGTATGCCGGCCACAAAGTTCGGCTCATTATGCCCTTACAAAGGGTACATTGTGTTTGATCAGATATTTGTAACGCCCTGAAGGAGGCATTACAAGAAGAAGAGCCGCTATAGTCGTGTCTTCTTATTCCTGTAAGCAGATCATTTGTCCAGGCTATCCTGATCCCTGATTGGACCATTATGTCTTAAAGCTGCTATATCTTGCATGTAGTTGATTGTATTTTTTATAAACATAATAGCTTATTATATTCGTTTTTGAAGGTCAAACTAACCAGGCTACTTTCTTATCTGAGTACCATTGGAAAGAACAGCTTTTGAGAAAATTAATTGTTACTAAGTTTCAAAACCAACGATGCTTCAAATTATAATTGCGCTGCGACTATTTGTTGGGTTTGAGGTTTTAGGGTTTAAAAAATGTGTGAAATTAGGATTCCCGGCTAGATAGGTGACTTTGGAATTAGGGCTCCTGTAAATCTGTAAGAGTTCAGTTCCACGTTCCTTTCGGTCTATATTTTATGCAATCGGTAATCAAGTTAATTGTCGCCAGTACCTTTTTTTTTAAATATTTTAAGTTACTTGGCACATTTCGGTACGAAAAATTATTTGTCACGTCCATATTTGTTACATCACCGATTGTGGCGCCTCCTTTTATATGACGGATTTATTTAAACCTGGAAATTTCAGTATTGCCCTTGAAGCTATTATTACTTGCCGCGTGATTCGAACCGGTGTCTACACTAGGAAACGAACTCACAATGGTATTCCTGCTAGCCACTTGGGCTATGCCTTGCCCTCTCTGCTGTTGTTATTGTTGCGAATTAAGATCCTTTATCTACGATTGGATTATTTGTTTATTCTAGTTTTAGACAAATGTAATTAATAAGCTCAAACAATTAAATCGAATAAATTGTTACCGACCCAGGCATAGGGTACACAAAAGTCGGATGCGTGCGAATCCAGCAGAACTTGGCTGAAACGACATACATTTTGATTACGAGTATTTTCATATCTTTTCATACACTTCATGCTATGTCTAGTTACTGACATCATTGGCAGAAATAAATAAATACAGGTTTTCTACAAAACTTGACAATACTTCACAATGCTTTTACTTTTAAGTAAATTCGATCTACGATCTCTCTTTGCAATATCCAATTGAGAAGTCGTAATAAATGTTTGTTTTGAGTGGCCTTTTTGTCGCTGCAGAGCAATACAAGTTGTTAATAGCCAAATTTAATATCAAGAGCAATTAGCTGTCACTCCCAATATGGCAAAACATAGTATGTTCACACATATATACATACGTGTATATATAAAAGCACGATACTTCAGATATTTAACTTAACTGGCATCTTCAAAGCAATTAGGCTTCAAAAAAATATAACAAACCAAGACAAGAAGAAATAATAATACTTCAGGTGCTTCGGTTTTTTCCACTTTTTGGAGAAAGTCGGGAAATTGGCCCCCAGTTCCAAATGAGTATTTACTCTCTTAAAAAAGCAGTGTTAGTGGTAACAGGTTTACCATGTGTGTGTGTGTGTGTGTGTGTGTGTGTGCGACACTGCTTGACACTGCTTGTTGCACTGCACATGTCACCCAAGAAGAAGAAGGACAACAAGAAGGGCGTGCTCGAGTATAATAAAAATAAAATAAATAATGTAAAATATAATACGTACGTAGAGACATATGCATGTTTAAAATGCATAAATTTATTTATGGGTCTGTTTATTTCTATGCAGAGTATTAAGAGTTGAGCCGAAGCGGCAACAACAACAACATTAACTTCCGGTGGAGTCATGGGCAGAGATTGCATTTGTGGCTGCAGCTTTCATAATAACTTGTTCTCCCACATTGATAAAACATTATATGAGGACAATTGCCAGATTTGAGTTAAAAAAAATACCAAGAATAAAGGGAGTTATGGAAAAATCGGTTATAGCAGGGGATGGGGAGGGTGACAATTGGGAAAACAAAACACAAAACTTAATCTGTCGAGTGCTTAGGGAAATACCAAATTTGGTTATGCTGGCTACTTCAACTTCCTGAGATACTTTGTCATGCTCAACTCGTACGAGTATATATAGTACAGTATATGTTTGGGGGATCCTGTGCGAACCCTTTTATCCTTTAAGTACACCCCTTGCATTGTTGAAGCTAAACAGAAACGGAGAGTTTGCCGAATTCTAAAAATGAATAACTTGAATGACGCTCTAAAATCCATCCTGAAACTTCTGCTTTTAAGTATAGATGAAGGATTAAATATACTGTAGCTGGACGTAGCGAGGTTTTAAAAATGCAAAACCGATGCCTCTACCACAGATGTATTGCGATTTGGTCGCAAACAATCAATACCACAATCAGGGCATACTTCTGATTCCTCTGCTGTTTGTGTAATTCCGTCTGGGGATGGGTGAACGCATTTTGTTTAGTTGACTTTCAGCTCAGTTTACTTTGGGCGCTGTTTAACTTTGAGCTTGGAAAACTTTGTCCCTGCTGCACGCCATCTTGCACGTATATGTGTGTTTGTAAGTAGTGTACACGTATATACTTGTATGTATGTAGTATTGTATGTAGTATTGCTATATATAGATTGCTAGTGCATTTGCAAGGGAAGGAGCAAAATGTTTTATGCTGTGCACGGTAAAAATTCACATAATTGCAGTTGGAATACAACAAACAAGAGCAGAGCGTAAATAGAAAGCGCAAAGTCAACAGAAAAGAGGGAATGTTGTGTGTAGCCGGTTTACGGGTGTGCTGCCGACGCCTTAGCTGCCGTTGTGGGTGCACACCAACACACACACACCAACACACACACTAATACTCACACAACAAACAAACAAACAAACAAACGAACGAACGGTTAGGTAACCTTTGGTCGTCCACTTCAGGTGCGCCAAGTAATTGCAACTGAAACTGAAACTTGGCAGAGTTAAGAAAAGAGGGGAAAATAAAAGAAACTGGTAGCGAAAATTGGAGTCACACTGGTGGCGGGTGCGGGGAATTTGCACCGTAAGCAACGTAATGGATACAAAGCATTTCGATGCAGGTCATTGCGGCTAAATTAAAAGAAATTGAAGCTGTGCTCGCCTTCGCATCCGGATCCGGTTCCGCGCACTATTGCAGCAGCGTGTATATATAGTACTATATAAGACAAGGATAGGATTCTGTAGGACCGACCGCAGGGGGTATTGCTCGGCAATTTCATCTTCTGCTGTGGATTTTAATTAAAATCAATAAGCTGCTGTTGATTATTAATCATAGTGCAGTGACAACTTTCGCGGGTCGTGGGTTGCCAAGGAATGGCATTGGAATGCAAGTGGGAATCATTTTATATTATCTATTTTTTTTCTCACTATTCACTACATTTAGTTATTGGAATTAAAAGCAAAATAACATTTTAAGGAGTGAAGGAGTGCAAGTATTGCTTGTCCGATTTATATAGAAAAGGTTCTGCAAATAAATAAGGAACTGTGCCACCATGTTAGCAATAGATAAGAATACTCAGCAGGTGATTGATTGACGATTGATTCATTTATTCTAGATCTGTGTAATGAGAAGAGTCGATAAGCCTAGTCCGGCTGTTCAACTGCATGAAGCTCTATAATATATAATAGTAAACCTGTATTTCTTCGTATTTTACAAAAATGTCATGCAAATATAATATGGCCATCAGTATTTAAGGCTATGGACATATTTGGTGGCCTCTCAGCAATACCTCCAGGATATACATATTCGCTTGGCAGTAGGCTACAGCTTTAGTTTCAATAATATTCATTGCTTAATAATATTCAGTCTCAATACAGGTTCCAATGCTTAACGATTCAAAATAACATTTTTCCGTGTTCATAGAAATAAATTCTTCGCAACCAAAATTAACTTTTCTGTCTTTAAAACCATGCCTGCACACAGTACCAGGAAGCGCGTAAGTTGAGTCTTTTAAGCCAATCTATCTATCCGCCTCTATCATGGTTTGCATCGAAAGCACGTCAACGATAAGAAAGCCGACTTCACACAGCCAACCAAGGAGCAACTAACTCAACCCCAAGCGCTGCAAAAAAAGCGTCAAATCAAGCAACGCCAGCAGCTGATCAGGAACAAGGAGAGAAGCAGGCAGGAGAAACAGCGGTCGCGGGGACGGCGCAAAGCGATCAAGCAGAGTGTCCTCAAACAGATCTGTAGCTTGCCTCCAGAGAAGGTTGGGGAGTCCGCTCCCGCGAATGTTATGTACAGGAACCCCCATTTCGGCCTAGTGGCCGATCCATGCACCCGATCAGCTTGTAAGGTATGTCTTTTGGGTCATCGACCCAATGCTTTTGCAACAGGTCCGGGAAACCACCTGAAGGCCAAGGCTAGAATGTCGACCGACATCAGAACAAAACGCTCGTCTGGGGCAATGAAAAAAAGGCAAAATGTCTTCGACGTGGCTGTTCGGAGGGCCCTGGAGCGCCTCGAGTACAATTTCAATCTGATGAGTCAGCGGAAGAGCTCTGGCATGTGCATTTGTACGCTGCACAGTGGCCAGCTCTATAAGATCCTGATGGTGCCCAGCGGACTAGGGAGCATCAGCTTTATTGCTGACATCAGTCGCGAGCGCATGCTGCGTGGACGCCAAGACGGACCGTGCTTGCCACCTCCGCGTAATGCAATGCGCAGGGCAGCGGCTGACTTCCACCGGAAGCTGATGCTTCCCAGTACCAAGCGACGCAACCGCAACAAACGCCACTCATTGCATATGGGCAGGAAACGCCATTTCTAAATTTTAGTGCTCGAGCTCAATTAATATTTGACGCGATTTCACACAAAGGCGCTTCAGCGAATGGTTTCCGTTAATAAAGAATAATTTCAGCCGTTGATGAAGCCAATCCATTATTGCTGGTAAAAAATTAATGAAGAAATTGTTCAAATGAAGAAGTCTATTTGATTAAAAGTCATGATGCCCCATTCATTCATATATATTATATATTTAAATATCATATATATATGTAGGAGAGAAAAATAAAAGAGTGGCCAAATTCTTATTAACTGGAGATAGTTCTCAGGTAGTCTACTTGTAAAACGAGGCATTATACTATGATAATAATTGAAATTTGAAAACCTATTTACTATGCCCAAGCAGTAAATAAAATCGGAAACTATTGAAGAATTTAAATCAAAAACTACAGTGCAACTTCTACTTAAATTTGTATTTTAAAGCCTATGATATGTAGCTTGAAATTATTTAAAAATCAGCGTATATTTCCCGAAATCCAGGCAGATGTAAAGATGGACAGAGGGGTTGACCTTTAATGAATATATTAATAATTCAGTTTGACCTCCAAGCAATGAGCAATTATTTCGGCCCTTAACTGAGTAGTAATATTATTCTGCACTGGTTGTTAGAAAGTCCATTAACTGATCTAGGAACTGGTGCTATCTGCGACCCTACTAGAAAGCATGACAACATTCTAAGTTTGTAATTTGGAGCTGATTTTTAAACAGAATAGTTTTTAATATAAAAAATCGTTTTCAATTAGCTGTGTCGTACTCGGAGCATTCTCCCATATAGAAGGAGTTACCAGTTAACTGAACAATGCGTATAATTTGGATTCTAAAAAGTGAGATTTGTAAATGTAAAAATCCATTAAGTAATCGCCATAAACCCTCCTCAGAATGAACAACTTGCAAATGGATGAATTTCTGTTGATTGCTAATGCATTTTAATTATTTATGTGCGGACGTGTTCTTCTATGTGTGCGTCAATCGATTCAAGCGATGAATCAGATCCTTTTAAAGTTTGCTTTAAATGCATAGCATACTTTGAGGGGCAGAGATAATCACACTCTGCACCTTCGGCATAGCAGAGCCGCAACGTTATATTAGTGTCTGTTTTTTTTTTTTTTTTGTGGCGGCACATCCTCTTGTCACGTATATTTTTAGTTAGCTTTGAGTTTTCAGTTACAAGATTTGGCAAGCGAAGCAATCACTAAATAAAAAAAGGACAAAGGGAACAAGGAGAGGACGGAGTGCAAGGTGGAGGCAAAAACGATGGACAGTTGCTGAGCTGAGTTTCAATTTTCACTTAAAACAAAGTTGGCACATAGCTGACAAAAAAAAACAAGAGCCAAAGGAAGGAAAGAAAAATACTAGGAAAAATTTCGGGGCGCTCGGGCGTTAACAAAGCTCGCGTCGCGTTCAAATTGTGCTGTGCATTTTTTGGCTACCGCTGTCGATGTTGTTGTTGTTGTTGTTGTTGGGCTTGTAATCAGAGCAAAGAAGAGACAGACGCACACACACACACACACACACACACACTTATATGCTATACTATACTATACATGTGCACACATGACGGTGCTTACGTGATTCGAGCACAGTCGCCATCGCTCTGGCATAGAAAAATCAGTTGCAACAACAGAAAACAAATCGGGGAAACAAAAGCAATGAGAGGCAAACAAAGTCAAATACAATAAAAAGTTCCTCCAGTGGCAAAGAAGTCAAAGGGTTGGCCAAATAATTCTATGGGGTAGTGTTCGTATTGTGTTAAAGATTTAAAAAAAATGAGCTTAAGGACTTAAAGTGTTTTTAGCTTACGTGATATTTCGGTTTTTAATATTAAAAAACAAGTCCTTCGATCCATTATTCAAAAAACGTACCTGCAACAAGAAGATGAAACAAATGTTTATTTCAGAAGATAACCTTTTCAATTAGTTGTTAGTTATTTATAAAGTTAGAAGCACGTTGCTTCCCAAAATAAGTTTAAAAATAAGAATACAGAATTGATATTTTGGGGATATTTTGTTTAAGCCTTAGCCGATGGCTTTTCAATAAGTTGGCACAAGCCAAAAACTGCTTCAAGAATGGCTTCAAGCGCATTGCTCAAGGAAATGTTCGAATGATTTTGAGATATTTACATTAATTTGATTGAATTGCACGATTTTTTCGATTGCATCTTCGATAGTCGTAGATATATTTCTCTACATGTCTTCGCGACTAGTCTTGAATCACGTATACGACTCGTGGACTCTGCAATAAACTTGTTTCATGAATTGTAAACAATTTGCTCCTTATTCGATTCTCATTTTTATATCAATAGCTCGACTGAATCGATTGGCCTGAAATTTTGCTAAAAATGTAAATGTGTGTTGATTCGAGTTCTTCGACAGGTAGAGGCATTTCATTTCTTCGATTACTAATAATTCCAAACTACTGCCCGCTACTTAGTATTTAACTGTATTTCAGAATAGCGTCACGGCTGAGGGTTAGTTTAGTATTTAGTTTGCTTCATAGAAATGAAGCATTACCGTAAAAATAATAATTAATTACCCATAGAGCAGTAGAAAGGTGTTTAGTCTGTTGCTGCGTGGCGCTGGAATCATGTCGTCACTTCTCCAAACTGGGAAAGTGGCTGTCTTGGCAGTTGTCTGCCTTTTGTATCTGACATTGCCGCCGGTTGCTGCCCAGTCGAAAACGCCCTTATTTATAATTCCAGCAACGGACGCACCAGTTCAATGCGGCTCCAATCAATACTACGATTTTCGATGGGAAAAGTGCAAAGTTGTCCGCAGATCTCGAAATCATTGCAACACAGGATTCACTTATTCGTCTCGCAAGATGAAATGCATACGCAGTGTTTATAATTGATAATCGGTCGAAAGAACGTGTTAAATCAAAGATAAAGCAATAAAGACAATTGCACCATTTGAAATTCATTTACTATACAAGTAGATGAATCAAGATGAGTGTTTTAGATGATTTTCGTTTATAGGTACGAGCATTATCACAGTATTGTATTGTGGGTTATTAACACTTTTGTTGGTTTTAAGCATTCGGAATATATTTGAGAACTCAATGTTTCTATCAGTGTGCTAAACATTTTTAGAGTTTGGCTTCCTAAGCTGAAGATCGCTCTCGTAAATAGTCGCATTCATGGACATACATATATAAAACACTATAAGCCTCAAACAATTACGAATTCGTTATGGAGAAAGCCTTGATACACTATAGTAATGAAACAATATATATCCAAGGTTTTTCCTGCATTTGCAGTGTGCAAAGTCAAATATTCAATTAAAAAGAAATGGTATTCGATTATTCGTTTTATCCTCTCAAGGAGTAAATTTAGTCTGCTTTCTCCGTTTCTCTAGTTCTATGAATACTTGTTTTCAGAGTTCAATTTTGCCGGTACTAGGATAGAAACTTTTAATCGATTTTTTCTTCATTTGTATTTTATAATTTATATATAATGTTACAACACAGTCTTGGATTTGAAGCAACATAAATCAAAATTAAGAACGCTGTTGTATGTAATTGGATCATTCAAGCTAGCCACGTGCAGGATTAACGCCAGTCGGCTTCTTTGCAGCATTCAGTTTTCCAGGACTGCTATTGCCTGGGGGAGCTTTTGGTCTTTGACTGTTTATAACTTTTCCATTGTTACCCAGAGCCTGGAGAAGCTTTGGCTTTTGAGTTTTCGAAACTGGTGCTTTACCAGCGTTCGGTGGCTTTCTTTGTTTGCCTTGAGCAGCGTTATGTTTCGATCTGCGTTTCCCAGCAGGGGGAGGTTCCGTAGGCGGTTCAGCTCCGGGATCAGCAGCAGGATCAGCGGCGGGACTGGCTTCCTCACCACCGGCACCAGTAGTTTGTGCGCCGGGATCGGCACCGCCAGCAGGGCTTTCAGTAGCGGCTTTTGGCTTTTGAGTCCCATCTCCACCGCCCCCTTGGCCTTTTTTTTTTTTAGCGTTTCCGTAGTTGGCTGGTGGGACAAATCCAGGGGGATACTGATCAGCTCCGCCTTCATAGTCTGGGAATGCAGTTGCTATCGGCTTTATAGAGGGCCATGGCTTGTATTTAGGTGGCAGTCTATAGGAATACCGTTGCGGTCGCCTCGTCGCATTGTAGTCAACAACGTGTTGATAGATCGCTCCATAATGCTGCTGTGGCTTATACGCGAAGCGCATACACTTCTGGAACTCCCCCATCCATTTGTAGCCGTACTCACACCACCGCAAATTTGATCGCAAATCAATTGGGGTTTCCTTAGTTTGGCTCTCCCATGGTTCCAAGACATTGTCAAGAGGAGATAACGTAGGGACAGTCGCTGGAACTATTGGGAAAATATCAACGTTACCGTATTCGATCATTTCGACAATGGCTATCAGAACAGAAACCACCGCAGAAACCATTGTAAGTGCAACGAATCGCATTCTCTACGGTTGCGTAAGCTGTTGCCAATCCGTGGCCGTTATAATTTAAAGTGCCTCTTTTTAGGCATACTTGTACTATGCAGCGCAATAAATTCAATTTCCAGCAAAATAATCGCTGTAATTAAGAGATGCCAACGCACAGATATGCGGCTGGGCTGCGGTCGGATTGCCACACACACTTCCTCAAATACACACACACCCATACACATACACATACTTGTACACACATACACCGGCAAATCAAACAAACAGAATGCCATTAGGTACTAAGCCCAGCCAATGCCTGATGCGCTCGCCCTTCTGCCTTGCGTTAATGGGCGTCTCTGGAAGTGTCGGCGGTTTAAATTTTCAAACTTTTAAATACCTGCAAAATTTCCACACGCCATTTAATTGCAGAGATGGGGAAAATGGAAGCTATTGTATCCGATGTTGTATACTCTTCTTCGTTGGAAAGTCCATGCGTGACTCTTCAAATTAAATAATCAGTCCACATATTGTAATGTTATATTAATTAACTTCGCGCAAATACCAGCTAAGTATGTCAAATTGTTAGCCACATTTAATCACTCCTTTAAGTAGCATTCACACTATTTTTAAACCAGTATATATTTGATTTAAAATCCAATAAAACAATGGACAACGCGTAGAGTCGATGACGAACTGTAGGAAAAGCACCAATTTTGGGTCAAATATTTCCCATGAAGGCACGAAATGAGGAAGATGTCAACAAACTTTAAATTTGTTCTAACTACAGCACCAGAATTGGGAGGTGAAATTAAAATAGTCAAAGTATCAAATATAACAACAAAATATATTTGTAATTAAACTATGCTCGAGAGG